GTAAAATTTTGATCACAAATTTGGAAAAAGCTCAGAAACTTGCTAAGCAATTTGAGAGTTCCCATAATTTCAGTTTGGGTCTTACTAGTCCTATTGAGAATCAGGTTGCTCGGGATTTTCTGAATATTTTCTCTCGGGAAAATATTTTTGATGATTCCTGGGGGACTGATTTGGACGAAGTAAGGTCTATAACCAAAAAGTTTCAAAATATGAAAGCTCCAGGTGATGATGGAATTTTCTACATCCTCATCAAAAAACTCCCAGAGAGTACCTTGTCTTTCTTGGTAAAATTATTTAACAGATGTTTCCATTTGGCATACTTTCCTGATAAATGGAAAAATGCAAAAGTTGTTCCAATGTTGAAGCCGGATAAAAATCGTCCAATAAGTTTGCTTACTTCAATAAGTAAACTTTTGAAAAGATAATTTTGAATAGAATGATGCTTCACATCAATACGAACTCAATTTTTGCAGATGAGCAGTTTGGATTTCGCCATGGGCATTCAACTACTCATCAACTCTTAAGAGTTACCAATTTAATTCGTTCAAACAAATCTGAAGGCCACTCAACTGGAGTTGCTCTTCTAGACATAGAAAAAGCATTCGACAGTGTTTGGCATGAAGGTTTGATTGCTAAATTGAAAAAGTTTAATTTTCCACTTTATATTATGAAATTAGTTCAAAATTATTTAACTGACAGATCTCTGCAGGTAAATTATCGAAATTCCAAATCTAATCGACTACCTGTTAGAGCAGGAGTTCCTCAGGGTAGCATTCTTGGGCCTATATTGTATAACATTTTCACTTCGGACCTCCCTGATTTGCCTCAGGGTTGCCACAAATCTTTGTACGCTGATGACACAGGCATTTCCGCTAAAGGAAGAAGTCTTTGTGTTATTTGCAGCAGACTGCAGAAAAGTTTAGATATTTTCTCTTCCTATTTACAAAAATGGAAGATTTCTCCCAACGCTTCCAAAACTCAACTTATAATATTTCCATATAAGCCTAGAGCTTCCTTTTTGAAACCTAGTAGTAGTTACATAGTCACTATGAGCGGAGTTCCAATTTCCTCGTCAAACCAAGTGAAATATCTTGGATTAATACTTGACCAAAAATTAACTTTTAAAGATCACATTGAGGGCATTCAAGCCAAATGTAACAAATATATAAAATGTTTGTATCCTCTAATAAACAGGAAATCCAAACTTTGCCTGACGAATAAACTTCTAATATTTAAACAAGTTTTTAGACCGGCCATGCTTTACGCTGTGCCAATATGGTCTTGTTGTTGCACTACCAGGAAAAAAGCACTTCAAAGGGTTTAGAACAAAGTTCTGAGGATGATTTTGAAGTTGCCTCCTTGGTACAGTACTACCAAAGTACATAGAATTTCGAATGTTGAGACTTTAGCACAAATGTCCAACAAAATAATTAATAATTTCCGGCAAAAATCGTTGCAATCCTCAATTGCAACGATTAATTCCCTTTATACTTAGATAAGATTTAGTTTTAGTTTTTAGTTTTAAGATATCAATTGTTATACTGACATGCAGGTTTAAAAAACCTGTTTAAAATACTGAATTGCCAAGACAGGAACAATGTAAAAACACTTAGATATATATCATAACAATTAAGGCTGGTAAGTTACTGTAGTAACTGGCGATTTGTTTTGTACGCAGAAAATCGGAAAATGTTTTTTTTTTATTAAATTCGAGCTTTTTTCTTGGACCTTTAAAAAAAATATTGGTACAGAAGGTGGCTTATATTATGGCGCAACACCCCTACCAAATATTTTTTCTCGTTTCGCCTCCACAAACGAAAATTTAATAAAAATGTTGAAATCTGCATACATTATTTTTCGGTTTAACTTTTCGTCCATAGAAGGTGGCGCAATGCTGTCAGTAGTTGTGAGTGTAAAACTCACAGCATTCCTCGATTCATTTGTCAAATCATATATCTCACGAGTTTTGCCAAATTCCTCGATTTGAATTTATAAAAGAAAAAATCTCGTAAAACTATGTTATCAATTTTTAAATCCATCGACCTCACATATTGTTTAAGTTCTCGGAAAACTGCTCGTTTATAAAAAAGGGAAAAACTTCCTCAAAAAACATTACAAATTTGTCAAACCGCCAATCTCACAAGTTTTGAGAAAGTTTTCGAAAAAACATTTATAAAAGAAGGATAAAATACGTCTACGGCTGGAAATCTCCTAAATAAATTTAAAAAGAAGGGAAAATCTCCTAAAAATGTATTACCAATCTGTCAAATCATCGATATTAGTTTTGCCAAAGTTCTCGAAAAAACTGCTCATGTATAAAATAAGGGAAAATGTCCTAAAAATATATTACCAATTTTTACACTTCCACTTCTGTTACTGCCGCCGCCTAACTAAAACTATCGCCCCATTGATTTACTTTGAACAGAGATCTTCCCTTCTTTTAATCATGAGCTGTTCTTTTAAGGTTAATTGTTGCAATATTCAAAGATGTCTTCTTAATGCTCGCGAAACCAACCTTAGAAATGTAATACAGTCAAAGTATTTTATAAATTTTTGGATTTCATTCGAGGAAATTACATTCGGGAAATGGAATTCGGGGAAATGGCATTCGGGGAAATGGCATTCGGGGAAATGGCATTCGGGGAAATGGCATTAGGGGAAACGACATTCGGGGAAATGTAGCACAATCCTTGAAGCATAGTCCACATCGATCACAAAGGGTGTCCTGCGGAGAGTTAATGATGGAACTTTTTTTCCCTGGCGCTCGTCGTCGTCGTTTAGTTGGTACATCGGATATTGTAGCAGAACTTCGTTTCTCTTTTTTTCATATTTTGAATATCTCTCATGGCCTGGGCACCTTTAAGGGCTTTATGGTAAGTTGTTGTTGTTAGTTCTGCTGTTTGCTCACGTTTCCTTCCTCCCTTAGTTTTTCTTGCAGACTGCTTTGGTTTTGTTTCTTAGAAACATCAGGCACTGCCGAGGTCGTTGTATCGCATTCTAAGGGTGTTCTAGCAAATTGAGGGTTCATGATCTCCATTTCGTTGAAACCGAGAAAAGGCTTATTGTCGTCATCCGGTTTTCGATGATCCTCTTCGGCCAACAGAACGTCGGTCACAAATGATGGAGCGAAATTCTCTTCCTTAAAGACATTTCGCTTTAGTGGGACGATTCCGGTTTTCCTAAATCCATTTATGGCAACCGCAGGGGTTGCTGCTTGAATGTAGGCCTTACCAAACAAAGCACTTACATCATTTAGCGAGACAACCTTTCCAGGGTTACTTCTCAGGAATAGTTCTTGAGCCTTGGACAAGTAAGTCTTTAGAGGTCCCATAAAACTTACATCCAGTGGTTGAAGCTGATGAGAGCAGTGAGGGTGAAAACAAATGACAGTCACATTGTTGTTTCTCGCTTTTTCCACAAAGGCCAAATTTTTGTGTTGGTGCTGTGACCATCTAGAAGAAACAGGACAGGACTCGAAGCAGTTGGCCTTGTATGACTAAGAAAATGGTCAAACCACATTAGGAATTCGTCCGTCGTCATCCAGCCACTTCCGTTACAGCTAAATAAAGTGTCAGCAGGTGCGTCTTGTTTCAGCTGTTCCGTTAATCTGCTTCGTGGAAAGATGAGGAAGGGTGGTATAAAATGACCAGTTGCTGACATGCAAATGCATGCGGTCGTTAGCACCCCTCGTTTGGCTGATGTAAGACATCCTACCTGGCGACGCCCTTTCAAAGCCAACAGTTTTGATTGTTAAGTTTGAACCTGAAACGTGAAATTCCATTATACAAAACGTAAACTGAATATAAAAATATAACTTACGGTTAAAATACTCATCGACGTTGTAGATGCGACTTGCGTTGAAAATTTTGGTGACATTCGCTCCCTCCAGGATGTCAAAGAACTATCCTACGGCTACTTTATTGAAGCCTTGCGCTCGTGCTGCGCTCGGCTGCGACTCAACTTGTTTTTTTTTCGGTCAATTCATATGCCAAACTTCGGATATCATGTCTTGAGAGCCCGAAGAAGCTTTTTTCCATCTCGAGAATATGCTCTACAAGCTCTTCCTCGTGCTTTGCTGAAAACACTGTATCGAACCTCCCCATTATCGGTTGCATTTCGAACTCTTCAATCGTCTGCGACAGGTATTTGGCAAGAGTTCTACGTGGAACTCGATATTCTAAAGCTGCTCGCCTCACCGACAATACTTGAATGTGCACGGCTTCCACTGCGGCAATCATACTGGTGGATTGCCACCGATTCCGTGAAGAAATCCAGTGGCAGTTTTACCCCAGAAAAAATGGATTATTTTGCCCCGTTAGTGTGATCGGTAAATAATATGTATTTTTCACGTTTTTTTTTTTTTTAATTTTATGTCAAAAGTGTAGTTGGAGATTAATAACAGTGCATCAAAGATTTTCATTTCTTCTTGTGTGTTATTTAAATGAAGCAAAACAACTATAAATCAGTTATTTTAAGAGACCGCTTTCTTACAACAATTTTCGCAGAATAAGCAACGTTCTGTATTTTCTTTTTCCGGTCATTCTTCTTCTTCCTCGCATTTCAAGCTTATTGCGTGTGGCATATTGCGTGCTCTCAACTTAGTGTTCTAGATGGACTTCCACAGTTATTAATTGAGAGCTTTCGATGCCTGTACCATTTTTGCATTAGTATGATTGTGTGGCAAGTACAATCATACTCTATGCCCAGGGAAGTTGAGAAACTTTCCAATCCGAAAAATTTCTAGACTGGACCGGGAATCGAACCCAGCCACCTCCAGCATGGTCTTGCTTTGTAGCTGTGCCTTTACCGACTGAGCTAAGGGAGGTCCCATTCCGGTCATTATATATCACAAAATAAGCCAGTAATAATATAATTACATAATTCTTGTGTTTTGAATAACATTTTGCCAAAATTAGATTAGCCCCTTGTTCTCTTAAATTAGAAAGTTTTTAGACTCAACTGATCCAGATTCATTTCAAATACCATATAATCTTGCTTAGGCATTTGTCGAAAACCTATCGCAAGGCCCTGCAGCACACTACACCGGACGTTATCTGCTTTCTGGGCGATTTGATGGACGAGGGAAGCGTGGCTAGCGATGTCCAGTACGATGAGTATTACGCCCGATTCGCAAACATATTCACGCAACCGAGAGCCGATACGTCGATGGTAGGTTTACGGGTGAAACGCATAACTACCCAAGTAGCAATTTTGGTTTTATGAGGGGCTATGTACATAGACCATGATTTAGACTTGTAGAATGCTTTAAAACCTCGATAAATCTTGCAATGTTACTTGGGTGCCTATCTCGCTTAATGTTGTAAATATATCAACTGACTTAACGTAACGATGAAGATATACATTCCAGGCGATAACGACATTGAGGACCGTGATCCACAGATCATGAAAAGAAACATCCAACGCTTTCATCAGTACTATAGCGAACAGCCTACGTGGGAATTGCTGCGTAGGGTAAAATTCTACAACATTAATCGATTCGTCGGCAGTATGCCTACGGCAGAGCATATCAATCCCGATTCGGAATCGTTAACGATTTTCTTGAGTCACATAAGTTTGCTAAAAGCAGCTGGTTATTTCTCCGAACAGGTAATTTGGGAACAAACTTCAAATTACAATTGACACTTTTAAATAACATTGTAGTACTTCTTATCAGGCAATTGAAACGTTTCATCCAAATGTGATATTTTCCGGGCACGATCATACATCTCAAATTGCAATCCTTCATCGAAATAACCTTTTCAAAGAGGTGAATCACGTTCCACTCAATACTGACCGCAACAGGCGGCAGGATATCTCAACTTTCAATCTCGTTAATCTTCGACACAATCAAGAATTGCTGGAGATTAATGTACCTACCTGCTCGTACCGGATGGGCTTCATGAAAATTGGCTATGGGTACGCGGTACTCGATGGAGACGAACTGAAGTACACAGTTCTCTGGACATCGCAGCGCTTTTACCAGTTGGCGGTCTACTCGCTGATGATCATCCCAATGAAGCTGATATGCGGACAAATCTGGTGCAACATCTTCAAACGATACTGGTCCTGCTGTAGGTCCAGAAACCGAAACTATCTTCCCTTGCATGCAACTTAGTTAGCGGGAAATGAGCGGAATGCAGTCAGGAATTTTCCGATCTAACACAAAAAAAAAGCTTTAATCCTCTGCGACCTGTATCTCACACTTTGCAAAGACAACCAGTCTTATGTAATAATAGGTAATGTATTTCAATCGTGTTCAACTTTTCAGTTCAAATATCACTGCCAGAGTCAGTATCAATGTGATAGAAACAACGGAGTTAACGATTAAAGTAAAAAATAAAAATGAAAACCGTTTAGAGTAGCTTAAAATACTGCAGGTCACTTTTTACTCGGTTGATTGCTGTTGCTTGGCAGTCAGCGCATCGATGGCACGCTGAATATCTTCGGTAATTTCCTGGCGCTTCAACAGCGCTGTCACAGCGTTTTTGTAATTCTTCGATGCCGTCCACCTGAAATGGAAATTCAGCATCAAGGTAGGACCGGAGGAGGCCTAAAATACGACAATGACTTACACCAGAGCAGCTGCCTCGAAATTTCCGTTGGTCTCCAGATACCGGGCCCACTCGGTGGCCACCTGGTCGTGGGTGGGATCATCCTGCGCCTTGCGCAGTTTGCAGATGGCCCACGCTTCGCGGAAGAACTTGTGCTTGCAAAGGTAGTCGATCGCTTCGGTAATCTGAAATTGGGGGTATCAGATCAATATCAATAAGTTACGCAAAAATGTTTGGTTTACAGCTTTTCTCCGGTTTATGTGATTTTTTTTCTCGGCTAGTTTCTATTGACCGAGAGGTCACAGCGACCCGATAGCTGTAGTTGTTGCTACTGATGAACATCGAGACGCAGGCACATTCGCAGCCTCACTTGCTGATTAAAAGCTAACCTCTCGCACAGTGGGACGAAATAAAAAAAAGTGTAACATGGCCATTTGTGGCGAAACTATTGAGGCCCTTGTTACGAATGTCACTTCACGGTAAAGTGATTGCTTACTTACTTACTCAAGGGTCCTGTACACCACCGGAGCACGTTGAACTCGTCAATCGCTGGAGTGAGTTTAGCAAGCGAGCTGGTTCGAACCAGGAGACGACATTTTGTAGGAACTGGCTGAAGATTGTGCTTCTACACTGCAACTTCATTTAGAAATCCGTCAGACTGTGCCATCCGCCACAAACACCGTTCAGCTTTCTGTCAATTCATTCTGCTGCATCCGATTGTCGATGTATCGCAGAACGTATGCAACACTTCGTATTAGCCGCTCCCATCGCGAGAATCACTCGACTTTCACCATCGGTTCAATGTCAAGATGCTTGCAAACAAAGGCAGGACGAAGTTCTACGGTTGTCGGTTCGATTTCGTCACGGCAATCACTCGGCCACTCTTGCTCGTTGTCGTTAAAGAACTCAGGTCCACGGAACCATCGGCTGTCATGTTCGAAGGATGGTCCCTTCCCCCACTCTGTGGCTTCATTGGCCGCGTTGAGCTTCGTTAGTATCCACCGCCATTCTTCTACCGACGATAAGCTGAGAATCTTGTTGATCCGAAACGCAACGAATTGCCGGTAGCGGCGTGCGTTTGACTTAATCCAGGCGTTGACTGTCGATGAATCACTCCAAAAACAGGTACGTTGAATCTTTAACGAATGCTTCTCCTCGATCGTCTTCCTCAAACGAGCTCCAAGTACCGCTGCCAACAGCTCCATAAACAAAACAGCAGATAAAGATTGAAGTGGTGCAACCTTCGTTTTTGAGGATACCAAGGAACATCTAACATGACCGTTGTCAACAACTCGGAACTAGGCAGTTGCTGCGTAGGCTTGCTCACTAGCATCGACGAAAATGTGGAGAACCAGGGGTCTGTAGCAATTGGAACTATAACCTGGGAAATAGCAACGATTGACTTTGATAGTGCTCATCTTCCAGAGTACAGCAAGCCACTGTTTCCAACGACAGTAATTCTCCCAGGGAACTTTATCATCCCACTATATCTTGGACCTCCAGACATCCTGTACAAGAACCTTTCCATGAATAACAAAGGCTGCCACGATGTCTAGATGGTCATAGATGCTCATCGTTACTAAGCATGTCCCGTTTAGTGGGAACAACTTCTCCTGCTAATAGTGTCTGTAGTTCGTCCCGGAAGCACAGAGAAAACGAAAATACATCCTCATCTGGAAACCAAACCATTCCCAGGACCCTTTCCTTCCCTGTCTCTTTGTCTGCTGCGAAACACTTAAAGGAACTGGGATTCACTTCGCCGATTTTGTCGAGCACAGCCGTTCTATTGGATTGCCAATTCCTTATTTGAAAACCAGCCCTTGAGTGGACTGCCGTTACCTCCAACGCCAATTCGATTGCTTCCTCTTCCGTATACAGACTGTCAAGGTAGTCGTCCACGTAGTGACGGTGTTTAATCGTGGCTTCGACTTCGTTTTACGTAGCGTTTAAGTTCATTACGAACAGAGATTGAGCTGGAGAACACGACGCACCAAAGATCACAACATTCATTACCATGACTTCGATCGGAATATCTGGGAAAGTTTCTCCACAGGAACATCAAAGCACAACGGTCTTCCTCCCGGATTAGGAGCTGGTGAAACATTTCTTTGATGTCTCATGAAATGGCCACCTCACGTTCGCGGTATCGGAACAGCACACCAAGTAGAGATGTCAGAAGATCTGGGCCCTTTAACAGCATTGCGTTCAGCGAAAAGCCCTTTACCTTCGCTGCAGCGTCCCAGATTACCCTAACTTTTCCCGGTTTTCTAGGATGTAGTACTGCACCAAGAGGCAAGTACCAGGTTCGACGTGGATCAAATTGACGCAGCTCTTCGGTAGTCGCTTTATGGTAGTCCAATAATTGTTGACAAACGTTGTTATACAGCTGCGGATCCTATGACAACCGCTTCTCCAAACACTTCAACCGCTTCTCCGCTAGAGGCCAGCTGTCGGGAAACGCCACTTCGTCATGCTTCCACAAAAGTCCTGTCATGAATCGTCCGCTGGTTGTGCGTTCAGTCGTTTCTTCCAGAATCTTACGGGTCCGCTGTTCATCCTTCTACTTGCGGTACCAAGGCAACTCCAAGGCTTTCAAGGGAGAAGAAACTTTGTACATAATCGTGTAAATTCTGATCAGCAGGTTTCGCACAGATGTGCATTTGGCGATGCTGCAGAACGGCCTCGGGTCCACGTTGGCAGCCATAGATAGCCCATCCAATACGGGTTTTCGTTGCGATTGGCTCGTTTACTCGACCCTCACGAAGCTTGAGCGTAACCAGCAAGTGCGTGTTGTTCAGCCCAATTAAAACACCTGGAACTGCGGCGTCGAAACTTTGCACAGGTAAACCCTACAAATGTTTGAAGCGCGCAGACATCTCGTCGAAATGTAATGACTGTTCGGGTAGGCCAAGATCCTCCACGGTGTACGCTTCACCGAGCTTGTATCGTTTGCTGTTTCCCACTACCGATACGTCAAGCTGCACTCTACATGTGTCTGTTATTTGTTTTCTAACTCCACCTGTCCACTGAATACACAGAGAATCTACTGGGCCATTCGCTTCAAGAGTGCTCACCAACGATTTTTCAGTCAGCGTAACTGAAGAATCGTCGTCGAGAAACGCTAATGTATTCGCCTGACCATTCTTTCCGTAGAGAGTAATTGGAAGAACTCGGAACAACGTAGACGAACTAAACTGTCGATGGACGGTGACGGTGAGTTGTTGGAATGCAGCAGTCGATGATGTTTCTTTTGACAACCATTAATCCCACAAGCTAACCTCCATTACGACATGGGACACGAAATACGATCATTGTCTGAGTCAGCTTCAGAAAACTACCTTGCGACGGCCACAAACAATGAACAAACAGTAGCGGCCGATTGTGCTGGCTGTAATCGTCCAAATAATACCGAGTCGATGGTATTGTGTCGGGAATGTCAGTGTTATTGGCACTATTCTTGTGCATATGTGAAGTCGACTGATATGCTATGACATCGTTTATTTGTTTACTGTGTGCTCCACAAAATCCTGCTCCACCATCTGTGGCTGGCCGTTTCAGTACATCCAGTGTGCGACAAGCACGACTAGCACGGGAGTTAGATCGCCAAAGTGAAAGACTTCTATCCTGGGCGGCTGCTCGCTTTTGCTCCTATCGACTTGCTTTATTTCCTTGTTGAGGTTTCGCCGCCCTGGGTCTGCCTCTGCTGCGATGTTCTGCCGGATTCCAATCCAGCGCTTGCTTGCAGATTTCGTTTCCGCCCCGTCGAAGTGTGTGGCTGACCCACCTCCACTTTCGCTCTCGAATTTATGTTGCTATCGGCTTCTGATGACATCGACGATGGAGCTCGGCATTCGAGATCCAGTTGTGAGGCAACCATGCACGAATTATATACCGCAGGCATCGGTTAATGAAGACCTGAAGCTTCTGAGTGTTCTCTGGTGATACACACCACGTCTCGCTGGCGTATAACAACACAGATTTCACGTTCGTGTTGAAAATTCGGATTTTGGTGCGTTGACTTATCTGGTTTGATCTCCATACGTTTCGTAAACTCGCAAAGGCAGTTCTAGCCTTCTTGTTTCGTGCACCTATGTCGCTCTTGGTCCCACCGTCCGACGCTATTTGACTGCCAAGATATTGGAAACTTTCAACCTTCTCCACTGCTTGCCCCGCTACCGTAAAGTTGGAAGGCTTGCCCGTGTTGACATCCAACGATTTGATCTTGTTGACGTTGATGGTGAGACCCGCCCCAGGGGAGCGTTAGGCTAGGTCATTGAGCTAACTCTGCATATTAGAGCGCCGTTGTGCTATTTGAGCAACATCATCAGCCAAATCGAAGTCGTTGAGATGCTCCATGGTGATAGGCTGCCAAAGGAGCCCACGGTTCGGTACACGGTAAATTGCACCCAGCATGATCTCGCCGATTACGATGAGGAACACCAGCGACTACCCGGATAGGGTCTGACAAGGCTCCGTTCTGCAGAACTATACACGTGAAAGCCTGATACTGCGCTTCGATGAGGTTGGCGATTTTATCCGGGACTCCCTTGCATTTCAGGGCGCCCCACAGATGCTCGTGTTTGAGTCCGTCGAAAACATTTTCCTAGTCAATGAATACCAAATAAAGGGACTCTTGGAATTCATTGACCTGCTCCAGGATGATGCCGAGCGTGATAATACACAAGATCTTCCTGCACGAAATCCTGCCTGCTGATGCCGGAGTATCCGATTCAGGATAACTTTGCACAGACTTTGATTGACTTTGATAGTGCTCATCTTCCAGAGTACAGCAAGCCACTGTTTCCAATGACAGTAAATCTCCCAGGGAACTTTATCATCCCACTATATCTTGGAAGAAGTTGAGGAGGAGATCGGTCGGCTAAAGAACAACAAAGCAACTGGTGTAGATCAACTACCAAGTGAGCTATTAAAATACGGTGGTGAAGCACTGACTAGAGCGCTGCACTGGGTAATTGCCAAGATTTGGGAGGAGGAGATATTACCGGTGGAGTGGATGGAAGGTGTCGTATGCCCAATCTACAAAAAGGGCGACAAGTTGGATTGCTGCAACTACCTCGCGATCACACTGCTGAGCGCCGCCTACAAGGTACTCTCCCAAATTCATTGCCGCCGCCTGTCACCATTTGCAAGAGAGTTCGATTGGTCAAAGCGACGATGGATCGAGTGATGTGCGTTGTTCGAGTACCGGGGACACTCACAAGTCCCTTTGAATCTCGAAGGGGGTTACGGCAAGGTGATGGACTTTCGTGTCTGATATTCAACATCGCGTTAGAAGGTGTGATCAGAAGAGCTGGGATAGACACGAGTGGTACGATATTCAGGAAATCCATCCAGCTTCTTGGCTTCGCCGATGACATTGACATTATGGCACGGAACTTTGAGATGATGGCGGAAACGTACATCAGACTGAAGGCTGAAGCTAGGCGGATTAGACTTGCCATCAACGCATCAAAGATAAAATACATGAAAGGAAGAGGTTCTAGGGAAGACAATGTTAGCCTCTCACCCCGAGTTCAGATTGACGGTGACGAAATCCAGGTGGTCGATGAGTTCGTGTATTTGGGCTCACTGGTGACCGCCGAAAATGATACCAGCAGAGTAATTCAAAGACGCATTATGGTAGGGAATCGTGCCTACTTTGGACTCCGGTGGACGCTCCGGTCGATTAAAATTCGCGGCCCACGAAGTTGATTGTCTACAAGACGCTGATTAGACCGGTGGTCCTCTACGGCCACGGGACCTGGACTATGCTCGTGGAGGACCAACGCTCCCTTGGTGTTTTCAAACGGAAAGTGTTGCGTACCATCTACGGTGGAGTGCAGATGGATGACGGAACGTGGAGGAGGCGAATGAACCACGAATTGCACCAGCTGCTGGGAGAACCATCCATCGTCCACATTGCAAAAATTGGGCGACTACGGTGGGTTGGGCACGTCGTAGTAATGCCGCACGACGACCCAGTGAAAATGGTTCTAGTAAGCGACCCAACATGAACAAGAAGAAGAGGCGCGCAGTGGGTAAGGTGGATCGACCAAGTAGAAGGGGACCTGCGGACCCTTCGCAGACTACGAGGCTGGCGAAGTGTGGCCATGGATCGAGTAGAGTGGAGACGACTTCTTCGGACAGCAGAGGACAACCAGGCCTTAGCCTGATTGGTAAGGTAAGTAACAGTCCCAATGACGCGTTCATCTAGATAAAATTGATACAAAGCAGATTTTTAGCGATGGGCCCAATCTTAGATCCATAGGCCAACATTAGAGCCATTTCCCAAATAAAAATAACCCCATAACGAAAAAAAAGCTGTACATAAAATAGTTATAATCAACGATCAAACACTCCGTATGCATAAGTGAACCTACCTTGTGACTAGCCAAAAAGTATGGAATCGATGCCAGGGTATACTGCTTCTCTAGGAACTGATATCCGTAAGCCTCGCAGCACTTGCGCCAAAATCTACGGAGACAAAAAAAATAACAACCTTTAAAGCCTCATCCTTTGATCGGATAAAGTCCACCCCTTACTCGTAAGAAATTGACGGCGCCAACGCTACCAACTGGTCGGTGAGTGTTTTCGAAGCAATCCTTCGAATGATTTCCTCTTTTAACCGGAAACCAATCTGCGGCAACAGGATGGTCCCAATGGATGCCGTATGTGCGACGATGTGATTCTTAGTCTCCTCTTCGATAAGCTCTTTCAGATCTTTCTCACTCGTAAACAGTTTCTCGTTGAAGTACCTCTTTTCATCGGTTTCAGTGGATTCGCTAATGACCGGCAGTTGTTCTTCTGCGCCATTTTCATCCACATCTTCGTTTGGCTCTTCGTAGCTGGTCAACTTGACTATGCATGCCAGCACATCGGCTGGCTTATTAATTTCCCTATAGGTCAGATGGAACGTCGTCGGTACGTTGGAGTTCAACTGTGCTGGTTTGATTTCCTTGAATTTGATCTCCTTCAAATGATCCGCCAGTTCGTCCACATTCGGCGTGGATTTTGCTGTAGGTTTTTCTTCAACTTCAATATGACCCGCTAAATCACCATTTACAGCCACTGCCACCACGTCCGGCGCCGGAGCGTTATCGGAGATCTGTAACGTGTCAAGAGATTTTTGCAACTGTTCCAAAGGTTTGTCGGCACGTTTTCTGTCTCGTAATGCTTTCTTGTCGTTTCTCTTTTCCTCCATTGCCCATTTGACTAGAACACGTGGTTCTGAAAATAAGTAAAATTATTGAATTCCAAAACAAAATCCTTGCAAAATTCATAAAATGTTAGCTTACTCTTGACCAGCGAATGTTCCGTGACAGGATACTTGGTGTAGTCGAAAAATGACAATGTGATGCCCTTTCCCGTTAGAATAACGATATTTTCCTGGATCGGTGAGAAGATGGCACAGAATACCGAATCGATGCTCCGGTACACTGCAATGCAGCTGCCATTGGCCGTGTCCCAAACTCGAACCGTATCGTCGAAGCTTGCGGAGACCAGCAGTTTGCTGTCTCCGTGGCCCCATCTCAAACAGCATACACCCTCGAGGTGACCCGTCAGCGTTGTGATGTTGTCGTCAACTTTATCTGAAAGGAAAATGGGATTTAGGCATGGTAATCACAATCACCATAAATGTCACTGACTCACCATCCATTCCGTTGCTAAAATCGATCAGCCGAATGTTGATCTCGTTGGATGCCACAGCAAGAACGTTATCCTTGAACTGCATTGAACAAATGTACCGCCGCGAAATGCTTCGGTGGTACAGCTGAGTCAAGCTCTTGCTAAGATCGTTGATGAACACGAAACCATCCTGGGTACCAACGAACAGGTAATGCCCGGAGGCTGACACGCTTGAAACCATACCGAACTGATGCAGCTCGATGGGATCTGAAAGTAGTCGTTCAGAAGGATAGATTTTATTTACGTTTCCGCGCCGATCACACGTTTAAACCGTTACCTACCGTGCTTACCAACTCCGATTATCTTGTAGTACGCAATCTTCGACTTTCCAGTAGCGAACAGCACCATAGTCTTTTGGTGGAACTCATCCGTCATTTCGCACCACTTGAGCGTATACACATCGGTCGACAGGAACGAATTCATCAGCACCGGAACGTTATTCGGCCCGTTGGTATCAAGTATACCGATCCGCCCCTCGGCTGTCCCGAACGCGATGTAGTTCTCCCGCACCGGATGCCAATCGAGAGCCGTAACTTTGCTGCAAATCTTGTTCATAAATGGAACGCAGGTTACATCGTTGTATGCCAAGCTGGCCAGATTGAGCGTGGCCAGTTTTCGATCGATGCAACCGATAGCCAGTCTGGAAAGAAATAATGATAAATTAAAGCTGGGGAAAATAAAAGAAGAAGAAAAACCTACATCGTCGATTCCAGTGGGTTCTCTGCAATGCACGTATTTCCGGTAGCCAAACAAGTCAGATCGGCGACGATTTCCGGCGTTTTGGTGACCGACACACCAACGATCTTTCTATTGATCGACTGGCACCACACGTAGTTCCCTTTGGGATCACCTCCACCGATGGGGCCACGAGACCGTACCAAATAGATTGCCATGTCCACTGGGTATCGGTTGGGGTTCTGAGTGGCTGTCATTCTACAGAAAAAAAATATTAAGAGTTTACTAGGTTTCACATATCAAAACTTGACCTAACGGCTCACAACAGAAGAGGAAGTGTGAACGAATCAGTGTATGAAAAACTGTGTCAACATTTTTGATTACCATGCGATGAAAATCGATTTGTGGATGCGCTTCACACGGGTTTTCTATGGGCACGCACACCATCAAAGCAGGATTATGTTTTCTAAGGTTGTGTCCCAAAAATTTACACGGAAAAATCAGAAAAAAAAGATTTCGGAGGACAAAACTTTCGCACTTTCAGGAGAAGTCAGAATAATCTCCGGAGCAAGTCATAAGAATATTTCAAATGAAATCGGAAGAAACTTCCGAAGGTATTTAGAAGATGTTTCTGAAGGAATTCAGAAGATTACAATATATTCTATCACGAAAAACTCTCGATCGCACAAGGCTTGGAAACATTATGAAATCCATATTTAAAACGATGGTTTGACAAAACACTGAGACTTACCTCACCCGAGATGCGCGGTAGAAGAACGATAGATTCCACTCGTACACGTTTCCCGACGCATTGTTCGCAACGATCTTCGTTGGATTCATCCAAGCAGCCGTTATGAATATACCCAGCCGATTGTTGGAGCTCTGCTTGCTGGCCAGCATGATCTTGTCAATGGCCACTCCCGACTCATGATCCCAGAAGAAAATAGCATTCTCCCGGCTTCCGGTTACCAAGATCATCTTCAAATCCCCTTCCTCTTCATCATCTTTCACTTCCTCGGCGTCCTCCTTTCCTTCATCGTCAACTATAATGAAATCTCGGAACTTCTCAGCTTCGTCCAGCTCGTTCTCGTCGTCGGTATTGATTTCATGTGGCTTTTCGGCATCATCTGCTACATCCTCACTGTCCTGTTCTTGCTGCTGCCTTGCATTGATCAAATCCTCCTTCAAGTTTTGGCACTCTTCCAGAAAATTGAACCCTTCCGTGGAGTGAACTTTGTCCCGGAAACGATCTCGCTGATCATAGCTCGACGACTCCCGATCGATTATGGTACCAAATTCTTCCTCATTCTCGTTGTAGTCGTAGATATCGAAAATTTCCGAATTTTCCGTGGCTGTGGCAGCGGATGTATCTGCGGGTTCTGGATTGATTTAATCATTAAACGAAATACATAAAATAAACACGAAAAACTTACTTCCTCTTGTTTTGTTGCCATTCTTCTTATGGGCCTCTTTCTTGGGGCGTTCTTCCTGTCGCCAGTTGGCTTGCTCCGGCTTTACTCTAATCTGCATCCAGTCGATGGACACGATCTCCTTATCGTGGCCTCGCATATTCCGAATAACCGTCATATCGCGAATGGAAATCAACTGAATCAACCCTTTCTTCATTCCTACTGCAAATATGTCTCGATCCGTCGGACAGGGCGAAATCACAACCACCGTATTATTGGGCTTGATGAAGTCACCATAAATTTTATACGTATCAGTCACCAGACAATAAATAATCATAACCGAATACTCGCAGGATATAATCTTTTCGGTCAGGGTGAAGCAAATCGCCGAGGTCACCTCATTGCTCTGGCCGCCACGGTTTTCCACCCTGCACAGCTTATACATGTGGCCTTTGTGACCTTTGATGGAATTTCCCTGGTCGACATCCCATAACAGCAAATTATTCTGCTCGTCCAGAGTAGCAAACTCTCTCCGCTCGCTCCAGTCTGGAGAACAGGCCAAAGCCTTAATTCTAAATATACATAAACATTATTAAGACGACTAATAACCATAAAAAAAAATACATGACAACTTACGTAGACTTCACATTGATGATCTTCACCTGGGGCAACTGACCCTTCACAAGAGGAGCAATGTAGTTAACGTCCGATCGCGAATAATACAGCAATCCATTGTCCGGAGTGCTGATGAAACTGTTCTGCCGGTACCAAACCTGCATGTTCGGCACCACTAATCCATTCATATCCAACTCCATCGTCAATGATTCGAGATAATGTTACTTATTAAAATTTTGAGCTTGAAAACTTCGATAAACAGATCAGATCCACGTTTTTCGGCGTCCCGTAACAGCTTATTATGTTCTATCTTCTAACTCGACGAAGAGGATCGAAACGAGACGGTTGATGTTAGAAAAATCAAAATTTAATACGCACATTCACCGATAAACCGAAGTTCTTTTGTTTTGTTTGTCCTTTGCGTGTGTTGACTTTCCGAGTGCAAAAAAATGACGGTGTAACAGCCGTCGCGTACAAAACACGCGCGAAAGAGAGAAAAACGGATCAAACCTCGCACAGAAAAACAAAACTACCCACCGCTTGGGTTTTTTAAACCCAAATTTGAGTTATTTGACCTCTGCCCGTTTCATTTCCTCTCGCTATTGTTGTCAAAAATAGAACGAAAGATTCGACTCAACCGTCTAGTTCCATACGAGAAGCCAAAATTGAGTAATATGCGATATACCCAAATTTGAGTTAATTGAACTTAATTTTGGGTAGAAAAAATTGAAAATAACTTAGCGATGGGTAATTTTTTTTGCCGTCCTTAAATGCAAACTACTTTGAGCCGGTTTACCCAAATTTGGCTTATCGTACGGAACATGGGAGATGAGTGAAACGAACTTAATTTTGGGTTGTTTTGAATTTCTGTGCGGATCAAACATAAAGCCTTACAGTAAAAGTATGGACGACTGACACCACAAAACTGAAAAAAGCTGTTCCAATCGAGCAAAGCGGTGCATTTTGACGGTTCGATTGGAACAACTTTTGACAGACGTCCATACTTTTACTGTAGGGCTTTAATCAAACAGTGTTTGCATCGATTACACCGTCGCACTTTCAGGGAGGCCAGATTTCAACCTGTACAATGCAAAAGGTACACTCAAAAATATTACAAAATGGATATATATTAAATTTTATGCATTTTATGGTTTTTCAAAATGTATACATTGGTTCGATTAAAATTTTCGTCAAAACTATACTAAGTCCGAATAACGAAGTGGAATTCGATCAGTGTTTACTAAAATGACAGGAAAAAGACCATCTGGATTCCCTTCGGAGCTTCGTGCTGGTGAAGAACTTTGTCCCGGCGGATTTCTACTGCGACTGTGATCTGCTGGGCAGCATCGAAATTGTAAGTATTTTTTTTATATAATATTCAAAAAATAAACTAATTAAAAAAGCTTCCTGAGACAATTTTTATTTTTATTTGAAAACAATAATATTTTCCATAAATAAAATAAAGAAGCGAAAAATACGTTCTCTCGAATAAACCGAATCTATGCATTGAAAGTATATTTCGATTTTATACTATGGCACGCATAAACCATTTTTATACTAAATTTGCATTCTCTCCCTTTATACCGACCTTTGCGTCGGTACGGAGAGCTGCGATTTAGCGTAACTTTTATACTATTTAGATTTCAATATTTTTTGAGTGTACACTGCATGGTGGGTATACAAATGGTGATACAGCTTTGTCACTATATAGGCGAGGAGGTCGCGGGGGGGGGGGGGAAGAGCGGTTTTACAGCAAATTGGAAACAAACTCGGTCGCTGTCCCATACAAAAATCCAACATCGCTGAATCATGAATTTGACACATTAGAACACCTATATGTAGTTCCTTTGGTACACTGCAGTGTACAGGTGTACCTACCATCAGACCTATGTTAAGGTCTGGCCCAACCGGCGTATTGGTATTAGTGAAATGTGAAAATGTCTAGTGGTGGTCGTATTTCATCGCAATGTTTATCTTTTTACACGAAACAGCTGTTTTCTGTGACGACACGTCTGCTATTCGCAGTATGGAATGTTGTGCTGCCGTGACATCGGCATTCGCTTGCAACAACATTTTTGCTTCTAACACCAGCAAGCTACTTGTTGTTCCAGACCTTGTATTATTGACATCGCCATCAGACCCCCTTCACTCTTTGGATTTTTAGAGACAGATAACAGCGCCAAACGGTTTGTGACGAGACAACGTTGAACGAAAACACGCACACCAACATCTATACATTTACGAACCCACACAACTGAGCGGACGGTACAGCGCAAATCAAAACACGAAGCGGTGTCATCATTCATCGTCTTCATTCAGCTTCTTCTACTTCCGTTTGCGTTTGCTTTCACTAGAGTCGGTGTATAATGAGTCACGCCAAGAGTGAAGCCAAGTCTACCTATTGAACTGTCAAACCGGCTACCTATCGTGCAAAGTAAATAAACATTACGATGCTATGAAAGTTCCACGAAAGGTATTGCAATAAAATATAAAATATAATCGAAGAAATGAGCATAAACACGCAGTGAGCGTTAAATTGTCATGGGATACGCTCGGTAATGATTAGTAATGAGAATTTCTACTATTTTTTTGTTAAGATAATTTGACAAAATCACTGATATAATGATTTACTGCAGCCGCAATATTTTTTCTCTCGCTAGAAGTCATTTGAAGTTGTTGTAGAAGTCCTCTGTTGCCAAGTGAAAAGAATGGAAATCTTCCGAAAACCGTGATGCGAGTTCAAATGTTATTCTCTTGGCGTGACTCATTATACACCGACTCTAGCTTTCACCGGCGTTGACAAATACTTCCTATGTTATAAAATAGGAAAGTAATTATTATTCAAATGTAATTTTTGAATAGAATGCGTGCTGCGTTGGCCAAAGAAGACGGCATATTTTATTACGTTTAGCAATGATTTCGATACGTTGCATTTCCAATGACTGGAGTGTTGGAATAATTCTTTAGAGAGAGTGAATGCTTTTCCCATGTTTAGTTCTATGCTTATTAAGATTCTTTTGAGCACCAGCTCCGCGAATCATCAATTACTATTAGAGATTTGCATCTTACTGATACCGGTGGTATATTGGAAACTCTTTCGCTCGAAAGCAAAACATATTACAAGCACATCATGATGCGCGCTTGGATGTGTGATTGATTTATCAAGTGTTTCTGTTGCATATAAAGTGGTAATGATTGAAAATCGGAACAATCACTGTTGTGAATGCGATAAATTAGCAATAACTGAAGAACGTTCTCGAATCACCCAAGACGATGCAAAGAAGTAAAATTTCAAAGTCAAATATAAACAGCTGTTCTGTTTCATCATCCCTTCGCTTAGTCAGGTTCAATGAACACGAGAGCAACGAAAATGACACAATATTATAGGTCAATTCTATGTAATAAGAGAACGCATATGCGGTACACTCTCGTTTGCTCAGAGGATGTACCCAACGGGTGCATGCAGCATAACACAAAGCAATAAACTCAGCATAGGGAAATTATACGCTTTCACCAGTTTAGCTTTGGTATAGGCGCTGCGTAGGAGTCAAGTGCATCCTAGACGTATCCATACATGTGAGATTATTCTGGAAGGATTGCGTTGGTCCCAAAATGCATCACATGATCTTGAAGGAGAACGATGGATAAGTTTAGATCAGGAATACTTTTTGTCTCTTTCATTCTTATCAACATTACGTTAGGAAGATCTTAGCAGGAGACAAATCTTTCTAGGCTTAAACCCCTATATAAGGCAAATTTTCAACTTAATAAACTGAATGTTTTCGTTAGTCTTAAAACGTCTGTCGATCTGTTAAGATCCGAATTCCTTCCAGCCAGTACCTTCATCAGGTTTTAAACTAAGATTACTGATGAGACCAGAATCTCTAATTTAGTGAGAAGTTCAGTCCTCAGTTACAATCAAAGTCCAAACACCTGATGCTAAAGGCACTCCTTTTCTTTCTATCAAAATCTGAACCACGCTATTGTAACAGTCTCTTAATTTAGCAGAGTAACTGTCTTAGCGTCTTGAACAGTTCTTTGATAGAATCGAGAAAAAATAGGCACTCGCTCCAGCAGTCCCGGCAGGGCAACGGTGTACCATCCAAACCGTTCGGCGTGGTAAGTAAACCTTCGCGTGATTAAACAAGCTCGGGACAGCTTGTTTTAACTCCTCTGCCATCCGTGCCGAACAATCACAAACAAGTAAGAATCTTGCTATCGCAACCCTAATAAAAATAACCATAAAAGAAAGCTTAACGACGTGTTCGGGGTATCATCCAAACCATTTGTGAGATAGTTTACCCATCCGGGATAAAGTTCGTTAGTGGTATTTGTTTATTAGGGAATATAATGATGATGACTTCGAGGATGATATCGTCCTCTTTCGTCGGCTGATCATCAACGTCCGCATTGACATCTATCATGCTGACACCTGTCAGTTATTGAGCCCAGGTGGTGAAGTTGACGGGAAACTCCCAACAGTTTCAATGTGCACTCAACAGATGGCACTGCGATCACATACGGGTGGTAATTATATGCCTTATATGAGGAATTGATTAGTGGGATATCTTGTTATTTAATTAGATATCTTTGCTACCATGGTAACTTTTTGTTTAAAATTTAATTAATTTGACAATAAAACTAATGCTAAAAACTAATCATCTGACATTAAACCCAATTTAATCAGGGTTGATTAAATTGAAAGCTATCATGTTTGAATAAATTTTAATCATTTTTGATTCTATTTGATCATTTTTGATAGAATTTATCTCGGAATTCATTAATTTTTGTTTAAATAAACGTGGGTATATCTTGTATTTTTTCGTATTTATGTATTCTTAAAATTTTGTGAATTTTTGTATTAAAGTGTATTAAATTCATTATGAAATGAAATACATTGTGTACAATGTATTTTCGAGGTATTTATTTACATGTATTTTTGCATGCGTGCTGCGTCGCAGCAAATATGGGAAAGCAGAGTTTCGTTATTGTATGTTTGCCGGTAGCAGATAATTGACCCCCGGAAAATACGATGTGGCCATATCCAGGGTTTCTGGATCGTATCACCTTAATAGTATAGTGAACCATGCTTTCTTACCTTACTTACCAATCAGGCTAAGGCCTTGTTGTCCTCTGCTGTCCGAAGAAGTCGTCTCCTCTCTACTCGATCCATGGCCACACTTCGTCAGCCTCGTACACAGCAAAAAAAGTTGTTGAATATTACATCGAAACTGCTGCAACCAGGTCAATCCATCGGTTGTGTAATATCACAATGTACGATGTACATCAATTTTGCGAACAAAATTACATCCATTGATGTAATATTGTATCTGCTTTTTGCTATTACATCATTATTTCATACATCAGCTAGAATTACGTTGATCGATATTACATTTTTTTTTTGCTGTGTA